CTCACACCATGCACATAAATGAATTTGAGACAGATCGCAAACCCAAACATAAAAGTGAAAGCTATAATGCTTTCAGAAGAAAACACAGGAAAATATCTTCATGACTTTGGGTTTGATCGGTTATTTTAGATAAGACACAAAAAACACAAAACCATAAAAAGAAAAAAAAATTGGACTTCATCAAAATAAAGCACTTTTGCAACCCAAAATCACCACTTAGAAAATATCCATGAAAAAACATAGGGGTTAGGGGTACTGGCCCCCTATACAGTTGAAAATCCACTTAGAACTTTTGATTCCCTAAAACTTAACAGCCTAACTGTTGGATAGGATAGCCTTACTGATAACATAAAGTTGATTAACACATATTTTATATGTTATATAATATTATATGTTGTATTCTTACAATGTTAAGAAAATCATAAGAGAAAATACATTTATAGTACTGTGAAACATCCATATATAAGCTGACTCATGTATTTCAAACCCATGTTTTTCAAAGTTCGACTTTATACAAGCAAGCTACAGACTGGGGGGAAATGTTAGTAATACATTCACCTGGCAAAGGACTTACATTCTTCTATAAAGGATTCCAACCATTCTGTAATAAGACAGTCTAATGAAAAAATGGCTACTTGAACAGACATTTCATGAGAAAAAAACCCAAAACAAAAAACTGCCAAGAAGCATATGAGGAGTTAAACATCATTAGTCATCATGCAAATTAAAATGAGATATAATAGAACTGGAACTCTCATAATTGCATACAAGTGCTCATGAAATGGCATATACAATAATTTTGGGAAACTTTTTAGCAGTTTCATATAAAATTAAACATAAACCTACCTTGTGATCCAGCAATTACAGCTATTGCATAAGAGAAATGAAAACATGTTCACAAAGAATGCTCATAGTAGCTTTATTTATAATCACACCAAACTGTAAGTAACTCAAAGGTCCATAAACAAGAGAAAGGATAAATTGTGAGATGTTTGTGAAATGGAACACTACTGAGTAGCTAACAGAAACAAACTGTGGATATATGCAACAACATTGATGAATCTCAGTCTTTTGAGGAACAAAGCCAGATGCAAAAGTGAACATGTAAAATTTCATTTATATAAAACTTAAGAACAAGTAAAATTCATCTATGGCAATAGAAAATAGAAAAATGGTTACAAGGGCAGAAAGGGAGGAATAAATTCATTGGAAAGTGGCATGAGGGAACTTTCTAAGATGGTGGAAATGTTCTTTATCTGGGTTGGGGTAAGGATTACACATGTATAGATTTGTCAAAGGTGACAGCATGTTAACTCTAAAATCTATGCACTTCACTGTCCACAAATTTTACTTGAAGACAAATCATTTTCCCTTAAAATTTAGAGTAAAAAATTGGACTCATCAGAGGGCATCCACCACTTCTGAAAAGAGCTGTTCAACAGAGACATGTTTACTTATCTCCATTTAGAATAGCTTTGTCCTTTGAGTCAGCTCTTCAGAAGAAAACTTGAATTGTTTCTGGATTCACTAATTTTTTTGGTGAAATGCTGCTCATTTATTTTTTTATCCAAAATTTCTAGTTCAGGAAGAACATTACTCATCATATTGTACCACAGAAGTTACAGTCTGAAGTTACCCTAAAGATAGTCCAAACCCTCAACTACTTTTTAAATAAAAACAGATGCATGCCTAGATAACTTGACTTGTCCTGGGTCGTATTCTCATTTCATTTCAGAAATAAAAATACACAGATCATACATTGTCACCCTCTGCATATGCTAACACTTGGGCAAATACAACAGCATACCTTTTTAATAAATGTAGATTAAACCTTCACATGTGCTTTAACTGGCAACTGAGAAAGCATAAGGAATAATTATTGTCATTAGGTTAGATTTTATATATATATATATATATATATATATATATATATATATACACACACACACATACATACATATATAATATATATACATATATATAATATACATACATACATATACAATATACATACACATATATTATATACATATATATGTATATATATATACACATTACATCAGTTATATATTTTTAAAAAACACATATTTCATTTCCAAATTCATATTGGCTGGCTTTTCATGAGTGGTGCAATTTCTAGTTCGAAGTGTGTTGGTCTTTACAGCTGGTACATTTCTATCACACCACTTTTCAGGAGCTGTAGTGATGATCTATAAAATCTGGGTAAACCAAAAACTTCTGGGTTTTTGAAAACTGGAGTCAGTGAAAGGCATAAAAGCATTACTGTACTATAATGGAGGGTAAATGTAATAAAATTTCATCGAAAAAATTTTTGGCTGGTTGTAATAAGCAGAGAGAGGCTTAAAATGCACAAATAATGGAAAAACTTTTAATTATGTAGGAAAATTTTATTCAATAAATATAATTTCATGAACTTTAAAAAATTACTGAGAGCTTATACAATAAGTAACTACATTTCCTAGCAATGCAGAGACATTTTAAAGGATTTTATTAGACAGCCACAGTGTTTGAGGTCCTCAATTTTAAACTAAAGTGTGGCTACAGTATTTCCAGCTACTAATTCCCCATAAAAATCTAACAATTGCCATTACTACAAACGTATCATTAGTTGTGATCTATTTTTTTTTGTAGGAAAATCATTCAAGTGTTCTCACATAAACAGCACTTTAATAATGTTCTATTTTTATGAAAATAGATGACTCATTTCAAGGTAGAAATAAAAATGTCTCTGAAGGGGGACCAAAATTAATGAAACATGTTTTACACAACTCTTGTTGTGTTTGTTTTATTAATACCTGCTTATATCATCCCCCAAAATGATCTTTACAGGAAAACACAAACATGGATGATTTTCCCATTTCCCCTGCTCCTGATAACTTTTCAGAGTAGCATATTTAAATTTTTTTTGGTATTAACTGTACATTTTTTGGGGGGCCTTGACTCCTGCCTATCAAATAGGAATCTTAAGTTTTTCTGAGAAGCCCAATTTCACAATCTTACAGCAGAAACAATCTGGTTAGAGCAAAGCAGTTTCCTAACATGGTGATTTGCCTAAGTTTAATCTCCTATTCAGGACAGTGCCAGTTTCGATTACGTCTGGGAAGCCTTTGGGTATCATGGAGACTGAGACCCAAGGAGGAGGGTAGTTAAGAGAAATTCAGACTGTAAATTCTCCCCTTCTTTCTTCTCAACTCCACGGCAAGCTTGGTAGCTGTAGTTCTCCTGGCCCATACTCTATTCCTACCACGAACCTACCGCTTGCTAAAGCTGAAGCAGGGTGCTGAGTCACCTTTTAGAGCAGCTGGTGGGCAATTCTGAAAACTGTCTTGGTGCCTGCTACTATCTTCATGGATATGGCCTTCAGACTAGGTAGGCAAAGGTAAGAAAGTGAGGCAAACAGATCTGAGATCATCAAGTAGCAAAAACACGCACAGAATCTTATTCTGGTTTTGGCAGGTTTAAGAGGAAGTTAATTGCCAACATCGTACTTTCCAAACAATTTTAAAGAAATATGCAAAGGGGAATTTTTTGTGATTACCAGCTATGTACTGTTTTAAAATGTGAGTAATAGCACTAGAGAACTATTTAAAGCTTGTAGGCAACACTGTTACTTTCTTAAATAAATGAAGAAAACTTTTCTTACAATTGCAAGATAATTTTCTTTTAAACAGAGGTTTTGAACAGAGCAGGATGAACGTATCAGTGGATACCATTTATGTTTCTTTGATGTACAGTTCTTAAATAACTTCAAATGGGGAATGCAGACAGTTACTTCACTCACACCTTAAGCACCACATAGGCTAGCTGACCTCCAGCATTGCTGCAGTTGGTCAGACTGCTTGATGGCTTTGTAGTCCTCGAGTGTCGGCAGTTTAGTGTCGGCAGTTTGGCTGACGGCAAACAGACACTGTAAACTGTAAGGTAGATGCAATGCAGGACTATTAAATGTCACTTTGTTATATAAATATTTTATAAGGCATTCTAAGAAAAAGCAAATTCTGTGATATCTTCCACTAAACTACCCTCACTGAATATTTCTCAATATTTCCTCTTCTGGAACATGAATTGGAAAGTGTATATACTGTACACTGTATTATCCCTTTAATGTATTTTTGGAATAACGGTATATTGCTAAACTCAGTTTTGGAATATCTGACTTAAAGAATGGCTATTTATGAAAATTAATATTTAAGCTGAAATTCATAACCTAGTATCTTGCACTACTGAAACAAACATTATATTAGCAAGAAAATAAAAACAAAAAAAAATAGTTCACCAGCAAACATGGTAAAGTCTTAATTCTTGACTCTACCATTCTTTCCCTACCAGCCCAATTCCAGAAATCTGATATTCATGAAATGGGAAAGTGGTGGAAGGTTGCAGAATAAATCTACAAAAAGGAATTATTTTATTCTCAAAAGAAAATTTTGGAAAACCTTATTTAGCCATTTCCATACAATTTTAAATGTGTATGTACACATCATGTGCTCACAGCTGGGTAAGTTCTTTAACCAATAATCATTTCCAAATTTTAAAATGACATTACTTTTTATCAAAACAAATGACAACACTGATCATATGATAAGCTTGGATGGAAATTAAGTACTGAAGTACAGTGAGTTAATTCAGCAGTATGTACCTGATTAACCATTCTTAGTATTTTATCGCTGCCATTACATCCTAAGATTTAGCATTTTAAACTTTGTTTTACTTACATTCTGTAGCCATGCCTGAAAATTTACCTTGTAATCGGGCACTGGACAGATTTCACTTTGCATGGTAGTCTACCGTAACTTAGATAACGTATACTATCCTACAAATAACAGGATTCTTATCTGAAATCCTTTATTCTATAATCTAGCTTACTGAAAGTCAAGAGCAATTCTAAATTAGCCATAGAAAGAGGCTCTTATCTTTTTGTTGATTTAATTACCCTAATATTTTTATTTATATAATTAAAAATAGTTGCAATGTTTAAATACTGTCCAAACTTGTTTTTTATTGATATAGTTGAACTTTACAACAGTGTCAGAAAATACTATAAACAGAGCCTTCTTCAGAGAGGGGAAAAAAAGCAAATTTAAATATATTAACCAGATTAAAGCATGCAAAAGATCCAATGATAAACACATTAAATAATATGCTAATGGTATATAATTTACCCACTACAGGTTCTTCGTATTCTGTCACAAAAATATAGTAAACATCAATTTGAAATTTGGTGAATGGACTTGATTCCTGATTTATATATATAATATACCCTTTGCATGTATGTGGTTAATTTTACTGGTTGTGTTACAGTATTTAGAGAAGTTTGGTACTGGTATATAGTTACTACCCATAATGCAGTAAATAATGGTGGGAAATGCATTCTCCTAATTTGCTCTGTGAACTTAGAAAGCACTAATGAATTAACAACATGGGTCACTGAGCGACCAAAATTCCTTTCTATTCACATTAACTTTTCGCATGAAAAGCTTCAAATATAACTCTAATAAAAAAATAGAGTTTTCAAGGCAAACTTTTCAGCATAATTTACAGAAGCAGATCTGAATAGAAGACTCAATAACCAAGCTAATACTAAAAAATACAATTGACTAGGAATTACCTCCCTTTTCTACCTTGATATTAAAATATAGTGGCCTTAGCAAGAGGCTGAAATGCCATTAGGAGTCCCATAAGCACGAGGAACAACCCAAAGAGATGGAAAATATCTGTTTCACGAATTGTGACATGTTCAGATTTAAGTTAGGGGAGCTGAAAGGGGTTTGTGTTAATGCTTTTTGTTTGCCATTATAACTCTGAATGAGTATGAAATATTTGAAATTTCAGAAAGTAATTCTGCAGAACTAGTGTGGCCATTATCACGGTGATCACACTGAATTTTAGGAAAGGAGTTGAAATGGTTCCCACAAAGTACTACTGCCCCTTTAACAAGTAGAGGAGTCCATTGTGGAGAGAGTCAAGATGCTCCTGTCGTTGGTATAGAAAGGATCCGATGCACTCCATGATCTAAAGTAACAATAAGAGAAAAGTTTGGCTCACCAGGACCTATGTTTTAAGTGAGAAAAAAAATTTACTCTAAAATGCAATTTGAATATTAAAATAATCACTTATTGATTTGTTTTTAAATGTTAAAGAGAAATTATTCATACTAGCACCGAATCAGTCTATTTATATTGTACAAAAACTTGGAAAAAATAATGCTCTAGTCATTATATAAAATATTAGCCAAAATTCAGACATTCATTAGCCTTAAAACAATTCCTACAGGTAGTAAAGCATGAGATGCTCTTAAAATCTTCACAATTCAATAAGAAATAAGTATGTTACTAAGAGTTATGCACATTCAGTTTTACTAAAAAGCAACTAGGTTATATGTTGACATTGCAGAAGCAAACAAACATCCCACTTACCAAAAGCTTTGGAATGAAATAGTAATATGTTCATATTACATAATTTCTTTTCAGCTATAAATTCTATTCTAAAGATTTTAGTGTAATTAGCTTGAACACAGTAAATGGTTTATTCAATAGATATCAAAGACAGCTGTAACTCAGTAGGGTTTTCACTTAACTGAGAATAAACCTGTAGTGGTCTGGAAAAGTTAACTACTGTCTGAATGATAAAACCTAAAAGCAATTAATTACTTTATTTGCAGCTCTATTAATTTAAGCTAAAATAACTCTAGACCCAAACTAGCCTTCTAGGCTTAAAATAGCCTAACCTATATTTCAAGTTCAGTATCAGGATTACTAAGCCAAAGGTGGCTCTTCTTAGAAGACTAAAAGCACTAAACAATAAATCAATACATTTTATGTAACTTTTTTCAGTGTTCCCACTTTCCTTAAAAAAAAATGTTAGAGGAAGAGACCAACATTTAAAGTGGCTCTTAAACTCACTCTTATCAAATATCCACTGTTTCCTAGAGATTCTGTCATTTAAATCAATTAAGCAAGTTACAGTCATAATGAAGTTTGGAACCTAGAAATTTTACAAAGTTGCCAAAGAGGAACACAAATAAGCAACAAAACCATACTGGTAATTTACAGGTTCTCTAATTTTATTAGTTTCCAGAAAACCTTAAACACCTTAGTTTAAGGAAGGGCTTGTTCACCACCCTCTGTCTAGTACCTAAACTGTACCTGGCACATAGTAGACACTCAGTATTTGTAAAATAAATGAATGAAATGAGATTATTAACATTTCTTAGAGTAAGTATTTATCCAAGAAAAGGCACACTTAGACACACAAGACAAAACATAACTGCCAACACCCTAATTATCGGGAGTCAAGATTCCATTCCCAAATTGCCAGTACTTTATATCAGGCTTTCCTCTTTCCCAACCATTGCTTACATAGAAGAATTTTATTAGGTAAGGCTTCCTTTGTTTGATCTTTTCAAAGCACACGTGCATTCAGATGTTAAATATCCTATTTGACAGAACATTAAATACTGGAGCTACATATTAACTCCTTTCTATTCAGAAAATAGTTTAAAAAATTATTTTTAAAAATGTTTTTATTTATTTTTGAGACAGAGAGAGACAGAGCATGAGCAGGGGAGGGGCAGAGAGAGAGGGAGACAGAATCCAAAGCAGGCTCCAGGCTGTCAGCACAGAGCCCAACACGGGGCTCAAACTCACGGACTGTGAGATCATGACCTGAGCCAAAGTTGGACGCTCAAATGACTGAGCCACCCAGGCGCCCCGAAAATAGTTTTGATTCGGATAAAGTAACTTGGTAAAATGCATACAGAAAATCATTTATTGCTGAAGTACAGCCCTTTAGTGTACAAGATGGTATATCCTTTGTAGAGCACCATGATGCTACATTTGAAACCAAGCTTGCAATATGGCATATTCCTTTGAAAACATTAACTAATAAGATGTAAGAATTTCTGTGCCTGGATGGTAGAAGTTTAATCAGCTGAATAACATGTCATATGAAAGCACTAGTTGTATTTCTTAAGTGATGCTCATTACCTTTTATGTTTAATAGGTTAATGGAACAAATAACCAAGGGATTCTACAATTTGTAACAGAAGTATCAGCCTTGCTTTACCTTTTAAGTTAGACATGAAATAGAAATGTAGAATAGAGGCTATTCCAAAATCAAAACAGAAATGTCGAACATATTTCACTAACACAATTATGTAAAACAAAAACAAAACTCTACATATCAAAATGACTTTCAAAGTTTAAATCTAATGTTAATGGATCTAAGGCAATTTTCATATAGTCCTTTGAAAAGCACCAAGTGGTTTTCTCATACTGTATCGATTTTTATACACTAGAAAATACAGATTTCAAAAGACTTTTTAGATTATTTGTTTGAAGAAAAAAGGGGGATGACAGTACTAACCAATAACATAACCTGAGATGTTAGACAAAAGTATTTTGAAAGTATTTGGAAAAGTATTTATAGTCTGTCAAATAAGATATTACTGTTAAACATTTTATTAGGAAAGTAAAAAAAAATAGTCTTACAAAAGAAAATATTATGATACAATTTTAAGTGAGAAAAAGTACAGATGATAACAGTCACCTTCATGTGCTGAAATAAGTCCCATAATTCCAAGGGCAGGTTCAAAGGGATAATGCAGTATAAAAATGGCTACGTAAAGAAAAATGGGGGCATATAACCTGAATTACTGGTATACAAAAAAGTCAGTACATAGAGCAAAAAAATATTTTTGGCTTATTTAAAATTAATTATAGTTTTAAAATATTTATTTATTTATTTCTGACAGATAGCACAAGTGGAGGAGGGGCAGAGAGAGAGAGAGGGAAACACAGAATCTGAAGCAGGCTCCAGGCTCTGAGCCATCAGCACAGAGTCTGATGCGGGGCTCCCAACAAACTGTGAGGTCATGACCTGAGCCAAAGTCAGACACTTAACTGACTGAGCCATCCAGGCACCCCTGATTGTAGTTTTTCAATAGTGAAGATGTATACTGTCATTAAAGAGAACTTCCTGCTGAAATAGAAATTTAAAAAATTATGTGGAAGTTCTATAGTTGTCTCTTAGTCTCCCACCTTAGTTCTGTATAGTAAAGCTGTCTTAATAAGTAAAATAATATTGTAAAGTGGGTCTTTCAGGAACTTCTTTTGGAAAACTTGGTGGCTTGGGTACATAACAGAGCTTCTTTCTTGTAATGCACTTTACAATACAATTGTGGAAGTCATAATACAGAAGTGCCAGTAAATTTAACTCTTCGTAGTAATTCTTTTATGTGGAATAAAATGACTACAAAATGATACCACGGCATTGTGGAAATATTTTTGATCACATGTTATAATCAATAAATGGAGACTGAAACCACAGACATTATATTAACATAAGAATGCTATTTATAAATGCAACTGTACCATAAAGACATGGCCATTAACTAAAGGCAAAATGGGAACTAATAAGTTCACCAGTAAATGTTACCTGAATTTTATGATATATGAATGGTATTTATTCATTTTTAAAACACAAAGCTAAGCAAATATGAAAAATTATTTTATTAGATTATAGGGCCTCCTCCATCCTTTATTCCCTACTCCTGCGGTACTTTCCAACCTTTTCCATGCCATGGCACATGTAGAAAGTGATTATTCGTGTGGTACACGCTGGACAATGGAAATCGCCGTCTGTCTACCCCTGCCCATCTATAACTCCTCAGGCGTACAAGCGCATTACTACTCTCATTTTAGGACTATGATATAATTCACATTAAGAATACCTAAGTGTGAAAAAAGTTACTTTTACTTTTTAATATCACCTAAATAGTGTGTCTCTCAGGAAAATTTATGAAGAAAATTTATGAATCCATTTCACTTTTAAATAAATTTAAGTGGCATTTACCAAAAAAATGGCATTTTTTGTTATGATCCACAAAAGTGAGCACTGATAAATCTAATTGAAGAAACAGATTTGGGAGGGGACAGAAATGCTAAGATTCTTCTACACCATAATTTAAAGTGTCTAACTTACCAACTTAAAAAAATTTTCTTTAACATTTATTTATTTATTTTGAGAGAGAGAAAGCATGTGAGAGAGCGAGCATGAGTGGGAGAGGGGCAGAGACAGTGAGAGAGAATGAGAGAATTCTAAGCAGGCTCTGTGCTGAAGGCTCAATTGCATAAACTGTGAGGTCATGAGCGGAGCCAAAACTAAGAGTCAGATGCTTAACCAACTGAGCCACCCGGCATCCCTAACTTATCTAAACTTTTAGTTAGACCATGAATACCAAGCAAAAAAAAAAAAAGCAAAAACAAATCACAACTCATTTAAAAAACCTCATCACAGAAATAGAATGGTATAGGAGAGCAGTAATACAGCCTTTGTGTTTATAAACACCTCAAAGTCTCAAATGACTGACCAGAAAATATACATGAAGAGTAAGAGAAGCAAAATCCTTCGATTTCACTATTATATGTAGACTATTTTGTAAATACAAAAAACAAACAAAAAACAAATACAGGAAATAAAACAGTAATATAAGGTATAATCAAAAAAAGAAAGTTATAAAAACCAAATAAGAGTACCATACCTATTCAGCACATTTTAAAAAGATTGTAAAGCAAAATGTTTCGTTCATTAGATGAAGTCTCTTCAAAGGTGCTTTCTCTTCCTTTGTTAGCGAAAGAGCCCCCTACCCCAAGGCCACAAAGTGAAATCTACCATCAAAGAATGCTAATAAATAGCACACTTCCCCGCTTCAGTTGGTAAAACCAGCGGCTGATTTATTAGGTATCTAGAGATGCAGGTTCATCCTGTTCCAGTTTATAGGATACTCATCTGCAGCAAAGGCTACTTAAAGAAATTTCACACCTGCTGACATGGGTCGGACTACATCTTCCTACTACTCGTTCCAGCATTCTTCCAACAGATGCGCACGCTGTTTCTCCTTCTGAGAAACAGCACATGGAGTCCAAGCACTTGATACTTGAATTTGCTTTAATAAGCTGAAGGAGTTGAAGCAGAAAAAAATTAAGTTATTTACAGATTTGGATTTCCAAAAAGCATTAAAAAATTACAACAAGCACTTTAAAACCAAATGTAATGTATATACATATATGTTTTCTATAACATGGAAATGGATGAAGGGCTCTAAGAGTAATATTCAAAAATGCTTAAAAGGCACTGTGATCTAAATTAGAAGTCAAACAAAATAATTATATAAAAATAAGTGGCTGGATATTATTTAAATATGCAAAGATTTTGGATTTTATATCTTATTTATTTTAGTCAAAATGATTTACATCACTCATTCAAATTGAATGAATTCGAATTCTTCTTTGAGTTTTTGTTTATGTGAAATGCTCCTGTAATTTCAATTACAAATGTCTAGCAATTGAGAAAAGTGGAGTGTGAACCATTTTGAAGACTGGGAAATAACAACCAGGCAGGACCTAACCCCAATCTTCAACAACAATAGTAGAAAATACGTAGTGTTTACTATGTGCCAAATTCTAAGCACTCTATATATATGCACTCCATAATTATCCTTGAAAAAAGCATCATTTACCTTAAATTTGCTAAGCAACTAATAAGAGCCAATTATGCCCCTAATCAGCTTATCTTGCTTTAAAAAAATTAATGGTAGATGTAGTAAAATCTCTTAAACAAGTGACTTACTACTATTAGGACTTTTATTAATTTCTGAAGGTATGCAAGATTTATACTGATTCAGGCATAAATAACCCAGCAAAATAACTTAAAGCCATTACTACTACTAATTTTAATCCTGTTAAAATGAGGGGAAAAAATGGTATGACCACATAGCCCAATGAATCCCAACCCTGGTTTTGACACAGACAAGGACACTCCTAAATTTCTCAGGGGTTATTATTTTAAACAAACTTATTTTCATTCACTTTCCTTTACATATATAACATACTGTACAACAAATCTTTGGAAAGTATAGAGGAGGGAGAACAATGAAAATACATTTATTAGAGTGTTGCAATTCACAAAGGTTGGGAATCACCAAGTGTTGAGGGTAGGCATGGCAACAGGGGACAGACAGGGGACAGACACTCACGATGGACAGAAGACAAATATGATGGAACATAAATAACCTGGCACTCTGACCATAAGCAGTGGGTGAGGTCTGCAAACTCGCTGCTCAGAGTAATTCTGCCAGATAGCAGGCATTGTGAGACAACACAGTTCCTGTTTGGCAATTACCTGATTGCACCAATGTCCTAGGATCTGCTAAGCACTGAGAAGTAGCCAAGTTTTACTTGTTCTTTCATCACAATACCCTTGGTTTAGGACTGTTTATGGTATTGTTTCTTAACCTGTGTTTTGAGAGATGTTTTACAGATGTTTCATGAAAAAAAGTTCCATGGCCTATTAATTAAGTTTGGGAAACAGTTCAGTGATGGTCTAAATAGACTTATTGAGCAAAGTGTTGTCAATAAGTCAGGATGTGTGGTCAATCTCCAGGGGGAGAGCCAGACATAGTGCGAATTCTCAAACTTGTTTTTTTAAAGTAAAACTTTTCCCCCACACCCGCCGCCCCTGGGAATCAGTCAACACTAGGAAGAATATTGATATTCAGAGGAACAGTTTAGGAAATGTTGGTTTAAGTAATAAGACTTCATTAGTCTCTCAGTTTCCTCCTTGGGCTCTGTTTTCCTCCATCTCAAAATCACCCTCTACAGGAAACAGGATTCTAAAGCCCCCACATGCTCAAAAAATTACAATACAACAAGGAGGCCTTAAGGCCCTTTGTAACCTGACCTCAGGCTACCTTTCCTGCTCAACTTGCCAATGCTCCTGTACAGTCTTCACACAGCCAACCTATGCAGTGTTCCTTGCCTCTGGGCATATGTCAGGGCTGGTCACCAAAGAGTCAGAATGCTGACTCCTACACCCAGTTCAGTTTAAATATTATCATCTCCATGAAACCTCCCTCACCTCTCCAGCTATCAGTAGTCTCTTTCTGGATTCTATTCCACTGCTTGCTTGTGTAATTTAAATAGTATAAGCACTTAAATTAAAAGGCGAAAGATTTGTTCGATCTGAAGAGAAACCAGAGTATTAAATTAAACTTTAACTTATTGAACAAGGCACTGTACTGGTTCTTATAGGAGACGGCAATCTAGTGAGTTAATAAGTTAATAAGGGAAAAAGGTGGGAGATAAGTCAGGAAAAAATAATAATGGCAGTTCCATTAATGGAATACTTACTGTGCATGTGCCAGTCACTATTAAGATGCTTCTCATGGATTATTCTCATTTAAAACTTATAAGAAACTTTAGGGATAAGCACCATATTCAGAAACATTTTACAGATGAGGAAACAGAGAAGCTAAGAATTTGTTCAAGACCACCCTGCTGAGGCTTGAGTCTTGGTTTCTTTAATTCCACAGCCCACAACTCTTTATCATGCTCTTATGCTGCCTTCTTATAATTATGGTATGAGGCAAACTACAAATACTAAAAAAGAGGAGGAAAGCTGTCGTTGCTGGTATTGGTGGGAGGGCATGAAAGATTTGACGGAAAAGATGGCATCTGGAACACATTTTGAAAACTGGGCGGGATTTCAGTAGCTGTTAGGTGAAGAGAATGAGTAACTATGTGTGGGTAGAAAAGTATGATGTGTATTCAGCACATGTTTAGTCTCAGTGTAAGAAAGTAGCTGTTATGCCTGCTTCCTTGCAAAGAGACCAGTGCCACTCAAAGTGTGATCCATGGATCAGTGTTGATTGGGGAAAACATTTTTTACTGGCCTATGAGGAGGTAAGTGTTTCAGATCTGTAAGAATAAGAGGTTAAAATATTTTATGGCAATTTGACAGAATACTTTTATAACTGCCGAATCTAATACTAATTTTAAAATCAAGGCTTATTTTATTTATCTTTTAAATTTCATTTCCTAGTACAGTTGACCTTGAACAACATGGGTTGGAACTGCATGGTCCACTTACACATAAATTTTTTTTCAACAAGTACATGTACAGTACTGCAAATGTTATTTTCTCTTCCTTGTGATTTTTTTTCTCTAGCTTACTTTACTGTGAAAACATTATTGTGATACATAACATCTACAACATACAATATGTTAATTGGCACTTCATGTTGTTGATAAGGCTTCCAGTCAACAGTTTGCTATTAGTTAGGTTTTTGAGGAGTCAAAGTTACATGTGGATTTCTTACTGCATGAGGGGTCGGTAAGCCTCTAACCCTCACATTATTCAATGGTCAACTGTAACTAATTTTTATTGCATTTTACGAAAGTATTGGTCCGTGATAGATTGGAAATTAAAAACAACAAAGCAAGAAAACAAACCGGTCTTTCACATTTGGCTAGGGAACACCAAACTAGACTAGAAACTAGAGAGAAACGAGGAGTCTGCCTGGTATTTCTTAATATAACAACTTGTGTTTTGCTTATATAGCTGATATTCAACTGACAAGGATTCACTGAAGAGGACATCCATAATGTCAGCAGCATTTGAGTGCTCCATATGTGTAGAATACTGCTTAAGCCAGGATCTAACTTTAGGTAATAATCTTATTTTGTACTCCTAACCTTTCACTTTAAAATCTAAGAAAAGGTATTAATACATGGACAACCCCAGAGAGAGTAAACATCTTGAAATATCAAAAATGTTATAAAGAAATGACTTCTTGGGGCGCTTGGGTGGCGCAGTCGGTTAAGCGTCCGACTTCAGCCAGGTCACGATCTCACAGTCCGTGAGTTCGAGCCCCGCGTCGGGCTCTGGGCTGATGGCTCAGAGCCTGGAGCCTGTTTCTGATTCTGTGTCTCCCTCTCTCTGCCCCTCCCTCGTTCATGCTCTGTCTCTCTCTGTCCCAAAAATAAATAAACGTTGAAAAAAAAAATTAAAAAAAAAAAAAAAAAGAAATGACTTCTTCAGATCACCTTTTGAACTAAGCTAAAATATATATATTTTATGAACATTACATATATAATATATATTATAATATGTATAATATATACAAACCCTGGCTGCTTTAAAAATGCTGAATGCTGGTTAGTTGTGTAAAGCTGCTATCTATATAAAAAACTACACTGTTCTCTAGCAAACTCCCAAGCTCTACCACTTTCCCATATATATATATATCTTTGATCTCATATTCAGGATCTGGGAGTCCAGCCAGAGTACATGCAGCCACAGCTGCCAGTATAACTAACGGGGGGTAGGAAAAGGATGGAGCATTTAAATCTCATTTCATTCAAAGTAAGGAGAGGCAATTATTTCTTTTTTTGGACGGCTTATAAATACAAGAAAAGAAAAAAAAGCAAAGTAATGGGAGTGAGACTCTACCTGGTGGCATTTTATTTTACCAGAAATTTTGATTTATTGGTAAGACACTCTCTATTGCACTTGCTTCCCAGGAATGGCCACATACCTTAAAGCTAGAAGGCTGCCCAGCAAAAAACTATGGGCATTCAATATGACTATGTATTTAAGATTAATGGGGCGCCTGGGTGGCGCAGTCGGTTAAGCATCCGACTTCAGCCAGGTCACGATCTCGCGGTCCGTGAGTTCGAGCCCCGCGTCGGGCTCTGGGCTGATGGCTCAGAGCCTGGAGCCTGTTTCCGATTCTGTGTCTCCCTCTCTCTCTGCCCCTCCCCCGTTCATGCTCTGTCTCTGTCTGTCCCAAAAATAAATAAACGTTGAAAAAAACAAAAAAATTTTAAAAAGATTAAGAAAAATTTTCATCTTTACAGAACTTGCCTTTTGAGATAAATTCTGACTCACTGCTCTTATTCCATTATTTTCATGTCAGTGATAGTAAACATTTAAAAGTTTCTCTTAGTGCTTCTGTTTCTATATATCTTCTTTCTTTCTTGACTCTTCTAAATGTTAGAAAATTGTCATACATCTCTAAATTAGTCATTTCTATGCTATCTTACCTATCAAGTCAAATAGTTTTTTCAAGTTTAAATAAGAATTAGTAAACTATTAACTGTATATGTTCTGTTGCCTT